AAAGTAAGTTTTATTTTTAATTTGTGTGTGTGTGTGTGTGTGTGTGTGTGTGTGTGTGTGTGTGTGTGTGTGTGTGTGTGTGTGTGCTTGTCTATATATACTCTGTGTATGCAATGCCCTTGGAGGCCAGAAGAGGGCATCAGATTTCCCTGGAACTGGAGTTACAGGTGGTTGTTAGCTACCTAATAGGGCTTTTTTCTTTCTTTCTTTCTTTCTTTGTTTGTTTCTTTCTTTATTTCTTTTTCTTCCTTCCTTCCTTCCTTCCTTCCTTTCTCTTTCTTTCTTTCTTTCTTTCCTTCTTTCAAAAAGCTGCATATTTATTTTGCTGTCTGACTCTGTGCTTGTGCCTTCAACACTTTCACAACAATTTTCTGCTCCAATTTTCAATAAGGAAAGCCCGCTTGATCCTGTCAGGGACACACTTGGCACACATGGAGCCACCATAGGCCCTGCTGACATGCTTCTTTGTCTTGGACAGTCTCATAAGAACTTTCGGTCTGACAACACGAACCCCTCTCAGTCTGCTCGGGCAGACACCGCATGCGGATTTAGGTGCTTTCCCAACCTTCTTGGTATAAAGGTAAACAATCCTGTTGCCAGGGGTTCGGGACAGCCTAGTTTTGTTAGAGGCTGTATTGAAGGAAAGCCTACATCGGTATGTCAAACGCTGGACCATTCTGAGCGCCTCTAAGCAACATCCCCGGAAGAGGCGGTTCTTTTTGTTTTTAAAAGCCTAGACTTGTCTCAGATTTAGAGTCTTCATTTTCACCTCCCATCTGAGATTGCAGCCACGGTGGTTTATACAGTGCTGGGGTGGAACTCCAGGTTTTCTGTATGAGAGGCAAGCACTCTACTAAAACACATCCCTGTCCCTTTGAAGTCACTCTGTGATCCCTGAGCTCTATACAGAGGCCAGGGTAAGTCAGGGACGTGTTCTAGGTCCTGAAGCAAGCTGATAGATCCAGGACTAGAATCCAAGTGTCTGGGCCCCTAGGTCAGCAAGCTTTCTGACACTCTGTGGAGTGATGGAGTAGCTTATTCTGCAGTGATTCCTAAAACTGTCCTAAAAGAAATGTCAATGGAAGTTGTATCCTAAAACACTTCTCAACTCAATATGAAGTTAACCCTTGTTCCCCTGAGAGCTTGGCATGAGCCCTGCCCACATCCCTGCATCCCTCAACTGTGTCAATGACCTCATTTCTGTCTTCACTAGGTGAACATGGTTGAGGGGGGACTGTGTTCAAGCAACAGACCTCTCGCCCTCCACCATCAGGCCCTTCCCACAGCAAGTCTCTTTGGGGCTCCAGAGATGAAGCCCAGAGAGCCCTGTCATAAACTGGGTCACCTCCTGTGTGGCTTGTCATGCGGCTGTGCACACAGAGAGGAGACCTTTCCTGGAGGATTTTCCTCATTCTCATGAGCGTTAGTCATTGGACACATGGTAGGATTTTCCATTTGACTCATTTACTCTTGACAGCAGCTCCCCTTCCACCCAAAGTGTGTGTGTGTGTGTGTGTGTGTGTGTGTGTGTGTGTGTGTTTCAACTCCCATTTTCCAGATGAAGAAACTAAGGACTTTCTTAAAAGCCTGGTCAGGAAGTGGCAGATTTCAATCCGACTTCATGGGTTCATGTCACCCGAGACTGCTTTGTCCCGGGACTCTCCACCTCTTCTGGGTTCCACCAGTTGTGGGGAAAACCTAAAATGACATTCTCCCTGCATGTGGCTCATTTGGTTTTTTGGATATGGTGGCCACACCTCCTCTCCATGCTCCACGAAGGACTAACTGGGATTCCTAAGAACTGTCCACCTCAAGGCCCAAAGCTGATGCAGCCAAATCGTCAGGCTCATCTTATAACTCCTCCTTCACTGAGCCTGTGTCTTCTGCTTGAACACCTAGCAGAGTTTTCAAAGATGCTGCTCTGTGTGGGGCCTCCTTCCCTCTGGGGAAGTGCCATGGTGACCGGTCATGTGTTTTCTGCCTTTCCTTCTCTCCAGGATTAACTGGGGAACACAGACAACGAAACAAGTGATTACAAGATTCTGGAGGGGGCAGAGCAATGTGAAGGAGTCCAGGAGGCCTGTGGGGAGCCAGCCTAGGGTGCCATTAGGGAAGACTTCCTGGAGGAGGTGAGGCTGACTGTATTGGGCAAAGTTGGGACAGAAGAGGGCCTTAGGTAAAATGTAAGGAGAAAGGTCTGAAGACAGTCATCCCTTCTGCACGGTGTCTCTGCATAAGTTACTCAAGGTCAGGCATCTAGGAATCAAGACGGGTTCCTTAAATGGTGCTCTTGGGCTTCACCCTCTCTTCCCTTTCCTTCTCAGGACACTGTTGTGTCTGGATGTGATACCTGGAACCATCGCAATTGTGTTGGCACCACAAGGGTGACCAGGCTAAAGGTAGGACTGATTCATTGAAGATATGAGATGGAGAGATTAACAACAACAGCAACAACAACAACAAAACAAACAAGCAAAGAGCCCAAGCCCTTGATAGTGTGCAGGTCTGGCTCAGCCAGCCCCAGAACTGAGCTCATCTCAGAGGTTCCTGAGTGAAGTGATCCAGCATTTGAGAGCATAGGACTGAATCTGGCTCTGCCATACTGTTGTCATGTGACTTGAGGCAAGGCATTGGTGAGGGTCACACATGTGAATGTCATGAAGAGAACCAGGCTAGTCACACTTTGGTGGCTCAGTCTTCTGTATAGCCTGGAGCCGAGGGCAGTCACTTCTGTAAGGAGCCCTATAGGTGGGGTACGGTCCAAGCAGAGTTTGCAAGTAGAGAAGAGGGCAGTAGCTGAGCATGGTGGTGGAGTAGGGAAAGAAGGTTCAGGAGGAGGATCAGTAGTTCGAGGTCATCCTTGGCTGGACATAGTGAATTTGAGACGAGCCTGGGCTACTTAAGACTCTTTTAGAACCAAACAAACAAAACGAGGAAAGATATTTCTGCCGTGTGTGGTGCCGGTGAAGGACAGGGAGTCAGTGCGTCCAGAACTTCAGATGCGGTGCATGCGTGTGGATCGTGGTGGATTTCGTTGGCAGCGGGCCTGCGCTAAGTGTGAAAGGCTTAGAGCACCAGTGGTATCCGAGGAGGCTTGGTCCTCAGGGACCTCCCTCAGGTCAGGAGGGAGAAAGGCTTTGGGCACTTCGTGGTGTCACTAATGCGCATGAGCAGGAGCATAAAGCTCCCGCAAGTCCTGCAGACCAAAGCGGAAAGTAACAAAATCACCACGAGCCCTTTATCCCCCAGGCATTCACTGGAGGAGGGGACGACCATCACAACAACACCAATATAGTTAGGTTTGGGGGGACATTGAAAGGTGTAAGGCTCCGGAGTGAGGGGTTAGTACAGTGTTTCACCACAATTCCTTCTAGTTATTTAAGCAATAAGGGACCACATTAAATCCCAAGGCAGCCATTTTAATGACAGTAGCTGATTTCAGTCCAGATGGGGGCTGTGCCTGGCTATGTCCCTCTCCCAAGTCCCCTGCCTTTCAAATATCCTTATCCGAAGCAGAGCAAGTCCCTAGGATACACTGCTGCTTCTTCCTGACCTTAGGCGGTGGTGCTTTAAAGCTAATTCAGGCTGGGAGCTCAGATTGACACTTGAAAGCTACTGTGGGGCTTCTGCGGGTTAGAGGTTAATAGTCGCTGGAGCTGCAGTTTGACTTGAAAATCTGAAGTCTTTTTCTTTCATTCTCTTCTCCCTTGCCCTTCTCATTTTTCCTCTCTTCTCTCTCTCTTCCCTTTGCTCTTTCTTTTTCTCTCCATTTAGTCACCTCTTTTGTCTCTGAGGGCAGCACACACATGGCCACGGCCCTTGGGAGCGTTCTGGCTGTGCCAGGCTTGGATTTCTCAGTAGCCTGAAGACAGGGCTTTTGGAAGATGCAGGGTCTGAGGGATCTGTTTCTTGTGTGGTTTGGATGTTCTATCAAGTTTGAAAGCTACAAACCTAGGCTTCCTTTAGGAGCGTCACTCTTGGGTTCCTTTCCTGTCTGTCACCCTCACCACTGTCCAGTACTGCCTGTCCCACAGCCTCAGGGTGCCCCCTTCCAGGTCTGAGGACCAGAATCCATCTGCGCAGACTCCAGCTCCAGAACCAGCATCTCACCTGCTCCCCTCACAGCAGCCTCCTGATTGGCCTTTGTGTTTCTCTTAAAGTCCATTCAAACCACACCCTAACTGTCTCTAATTAGAGCTACAGACTGAGAGCCTTGGTCTAAATTTCACTGGAAACAAACTCCAAACCCTTTATTCACCATTCTCTGGGCCTTTCTCTGCAGCTCCCCTCCCCTGCCAGCCACACCCACCCACTCTCCTCTCTACTGTCTTATGTCCCTGGGTGCATTGACTGTCTTTCTCTTCCTATGGCATCTACTTCTGCCTGACTGCCACTGTAGGAGGCTGTTCTCTGGGGTGAGACAGGGCCTCAAGCACCATGTGATCTAGACCCCAGTGCTGCCTCCTCAGAAAAACTTTCTCAAAACTGGAGCTCTGTGTTTCTGTTCCTGATTCATTTACAGCATGTATCACCACCTGAGGTTTGCTTATTGAGATATGCTGCTTTACATTGACGTTCTGCTTTCCTTACTAAAATATGGACGGTGCATTCATTCTGTCGGAGACGGTATCTGGCTCACTGTGGGCCTGAGTGGCTGTTGGCTCTTTGGTTAATGACAGCCATTACTGCCATAGGTTTGGGTTACCAAACCCAGCCCCCCTCCCCCAAGGGACAGTGCCAGCCTCCATCTCACTATGTGCCCTACAGCCTTACTTGAGTTCTGGCCCTCTGGGGCTCTAGAGTCAGGGAACAGCCTATGGCCTTTAGTTTTGGCCAAGCCTGAGGACATTTTTAAAAGTGTGCCTGTTAATTCTCCCCTCTTTCACATTTTCCGTACCCAGTCAATCACAAAGACCTAAAAATCAATAAGAACAAGACAAAAAGCCCAACAGAAAACAAGCCAACATTGGTAAAGATGCATATTACAGGCAACCAGCATGGAACAGATGCTCACCTCACCAGACAGCCAAAGGAAAACACAAACCAGCCACCTTTCCCCCTCGTCAGGCTGAGGGAAACTTATAAATATGGATAACCACCATTTTAGTGTTGGGAAGGGGTGAGGAAATGAGTCCTCTCCTGCACGGTGGGTGGTGAGGGGAGCCGGCGGAGTATCTTTGGAGGAGCACTTAATAGCATCCATCAAAAATCAAAATGCTGTAACTGGCCTGCACAGCTAGGAGGTATCTGTCCCAGAGCCATCCTCACAGGAGGCATCTGAGCAGAAATGGCTTCTAGAAGCTAAAAGTGGATAGCAACTTAGTGGCCACCATCAGCGGAAGAGCGATGTAAACTGGGACTCGCTGGTTAAGGTGAGTGCAGCAAGGTTCTGACGAGTGGGTTCAGAAAGAACAAGGAGTGTCTTTAAGTACTGATGTGAAAACGCCTGCAAGGACCCACTGAGAAGTGAAACCTGGAACAATATAGACAACTCAATCTTATCTGAGTCAGAGAGCCATATGTGTGATCTATGCATATGTAATATATGGACATATATGTAATAATAGCAGAACTTCCCCACTCTTCCTGCCCCTCATCAAGAACACCAGCCTTCCCATGCTGGCCCACTGGTGCCCCCCCCAGCTCTCTCTTCTCCAGCTTTTTAACATCAAGCTCCACATCTCCCCAAACTATCCTGAAGACT